ACCACCACCATCACCATCATCGTCATCATCATCATCATCATGCCAGCAGCTTTTTTTGCTTGGTAGTCTGGAGCAAGGGCACCCTGTCATTTCGGTTGTTGTTGCTAATGTGGTTCCTGCTATGTTGGTGGCTACTGACACTGCTGCTGTTCATGAGGATGCTGCTGGTGGTGTGTAAGTTTATGAGAAGAATGCTGAAACTGTAACCCTAAACCCTAGCCTGGTTCTTGTTGAGTCGTTTATTGCCGAAGGGCCGTCGGAACTGTCGTAGCCTCGACCAGACGGTGGCAGCGAGATTCATGTGCCCAGGAATTCTGCGGTCGCTGTGTCCCCTGAACCCCGAGCCCAGCCCTAAGCACTACGATGCTGGAGATGGCAAAAAGCTTAGACAGCCTATTGGAGACTTTAAACTTTTTGGCTTTATATATTAGGTCTATCCTAAGAAGTTTGAACTTTTTGGGGCCTGGTTGTTGAAGAAGAGAGAAAGTGCCGCCTATTCCTGCGTACCAGTCTTGTAGCATGCCAAGGGATTCGCCAGATGCACACGTCTGCCTCGGGGCAGCAGCTTGTGTCCTGAGGGAAATCACCCCCCGGGTGCAAGAGCATCGTGGCCCGGGGGCTGCAGCTAAACCGAATGTAGGGGCCTTAATAATTAGAATAGGGTTTTGAGGTATCTTCTCTTCTAGTTAGACTCAGGGGCCCCTTTTTATGGCCCAGGTAGTACAGGGGCTTGAATAATTAGAATCGGGCTTTCGGGTTATATTACTGCATCAATATAGGGGAACGATAAGGGCCCAGTAACTGCTCCGACCTCTTTATTAACCCTAAACCCTAAACCCTAAACCCTAAACCCCTAACCCTAACCCCCCAAACCCCCAAGCCCAGAACCCCGAGATCCGAACCTCCTAACCCCTAATCCCTTTGCCGTGGAGAACCCAGGAGGGCAAGATTTACTTGGATGAAGCAGGGTTTAGGGTTTAGGATTCTGGGGTTCTGGGTTCAGGGTTTAGGGTTTAGGGTTTAGGGTGTATATTTTGCGATACTGATAATCAAAAACCCCTCAAATTGTCTAGGTAATTAATTGCTAAGGCGGTCTACGTTGAGCTTTTGGTGAGTGTATTTCGACCTCCCTGTCTTGGTAAATAAATGTGTTCAGGGTTTCGTTTGGGTCTTACCATGGGGAGTCTCGTAACAGCAGCCTAAACCCTACACCCTAAACCCTAAACCCTAAACCCCAAACCCTAAACCCTAAAACCTTATTACTTCAGATCATGGGAGGAAGGCTTCCGGGACTTCGGTTCTCTCCTCGACATCGAGAGAACTGGGGCTAAACCCCAAAAACCCTAAACCCTAAAGGCTTGGGGTTTAGGGTTTGGGGTTTTCGGTTTTGGGTTTAGGGTTTAGGGTTTAGGGCCTGAACAATCCTAAACCCCAAAACCCAAAACACTACACCCTAAACCGTGAAGCCCAAAATCCAAAACCCGAAACCCTAAACCCTGAAATCCTAAACCCCAAACCCTACACCCTAACCCTGACATCCTTAAACCCTGAACCCTAAACCCTAAACCCTGAAATCCTAAGCGATTCGGTTTGCGTTTCTAGATGTCCCGTGCAGGGCTCAGGAGTTGGGTTCCAGGCGCCTGCTTAACCAGTTTGGATTTAGGGTTTAGGGTTTAGGGTTAAGGATTTAGGGTTTAGGGTTTAGGGTTTTAGGGTTCGGAGGTTCATGGGTAGTTGTAAATGGGGGGTGTAAGTAGGGTATCTATGCTTATAGCCCATATTAGGGGTTGAGGGTTCCATTTTGGAGTCATTTGGGGTGTAGGGTGAAGGGTTTAGGGTTGAGTGTTTGGGGTTAGGGTTTAGGGTGAAGGGTTTAGGGTTAGGGTTTAGGGTGAAGGGTTAGGGTGTTAGGGTTTAGGGTTAGGGTTAGGATTTAGGGTTTAGGGTTTAGGGTTCAGGAGGGTTGAGGGGTTTAGAGGGTTGGGGGGTTTATGTTGAAAACCTTGTGATGTTAGGGTTTTGTGCTGCTTTTTGTTGCTGGCGCGTTTTGATGAGGGTGTCGGGGGTTAGGTGTTGGAGGCTAGGGTTTTGAGTTCACATTTCAAACATATCGTTCTTCTGTTGCTGTGTAGTACGGTTGATGATATACATCCTGCATTACCCATAATAAAGGAATCTACCCGAATCTACCCTGATTCCCATAGTTTGGGGTCCTTGAGGGAAAGCAGGACCCTAAACCCTCAACCCTAACACCCTGAACCCTAAACCCTAAACCCGAAAGTTAAGGGCTTAGGGTGTCGGGTTTAGGGGTTTAGGGTTTAGGGGTTTAGGGTTTAGGGCGTCTTCGTTTCGATATGGGCAAACAGTAGAAACCTCTGTCTTCGTCAAGCCTATAGCTGTATACCTTGCTATTTCCTTGACTGACATATACCTGTTCTACCAAGTCTCCGTGATCCTCCAAGTCCCATACCTTGAATCCTAAACCCGACAACCCCTCAACCCCCTCATTACTCCAAGCCTGAAGTCCTAAACCCTTGATTTATGGACATAGTAAGGGCCTTATGTCACCATAGTTTGGGCTTTATGTGGCCTTAACAACAGTGGCTCAATATGGCCCTCGTAAAGCGTAAACCCTAAACCCTAAACCCTAAACCCCTAAAACCCCTATAACCCCTATAACCCCTAAAACCCCTAAAACACAAAGCCCCTTTCAGCAGCCCTGTAGAAACACAACTTGGAGGATCATGGGACTTAGTAAGTAAGGTTATAAGTCCCTTAGTTGGGCTTGTAGGTATAGTTATCTTAATTATACCCCTACTTACTAAGCCACATGATCCTTCAGCAGCCCTGTAGAAACCCTAAACCCTAAACCCTAAACCCTAAACCCTAAACCCTAAACCCTAAACCCTAAACCGAAACCTTAAACCCTAAACCCTAAAACACAAGAGACTCCCGCTGAGACCTGGCCCGGGCCCTGTCGGCGCTGCGAGCCCTGCAGCTGCGGCTGCTGCGGTCCTTCGGAGAGGACTTCGGGGTTTCAGGGTTTTAGGGTTT